AGCTGTGCTGTGGCTCCGTGTGCCAGGGAGGAGGAGGAGGAGGAAGACGAGGACAGCATGAAGAAGGGATTTTCCCAGCCTTTGGGGAAATCCCAGGTGAACTCTCCAGTTTGGGCAGATTGCCTCCCTTCTCACCTTGGCTTGAGGACAAGGGACAAGCAGAGGGAAAGCTGAGGGCACTTTTGTACCTCCCCATTACTCAACTCCCTGGCTTCTCTGGCATGTTTGAGACGATGCTCCTGTGCTGGAGCCAGCTGGGGTGGACTTACTCAGCAAGGGGTCCTTGTTATTCTGGAGAGAAGTGACCATTGGGGTGCCACAGGGTTAGGACCTGGCCCCAGGACAGCTCCATAGTGTTGTAAGTGGCCTGAGTGGGAGCGTGGAGGAGATGCTAATCAAATTTGCAGGTGACACCAAACTGGGAGGGGTAGCTAATACTCCAAGTGACAGAATCAGGATTCAAGACGACCTAAATAGACTGGGGAACTGAGCCGAAGCTCACAACATGAGTTTCAAAGGAGAAACATGTAAAGTTCTTCATTTAGGCAGGAGAAACTAGAGACACACAAATATGATGTGGGTGACAATTGGCTTTGCGGTATTTATTTATCTGATTATTTTATTTGTCTTATTTGTAGCCTGCCTTCCTCCCAATACAGGGACACAGTAGTACATATGAAAAGGACCTGAGGGTCTCTGGAGACCACAAACTAAGTGTGAGTCAGTAGTGTAATGCAAAAGCAAGCAAGCAAACAAACAAGGAAAGAAAAGGAATTCCATCAACAGGAGTCTAATATCCAGGTCATGGCTGACTCTCCTTAAGCTTGCTCTCTACTAAAACCCTGAGATCCTCTTCACCCATAAGCCAGGTGACCAGAGGTTAAGCCAGGTGACACACAGCCTGTGTTGGAACCTCTAATTCTTCACACATGTAATTCAAGCATGAAAGCAGCTGATGGGTATGTCAGAGGAAGGGTCAAGCCAGGTGATGCCTATCCTGGGTTGGCATATCTGATCCTTCCTTTCTCTTGTGCATTCATGGCGAAAATCCATCTTGTCCATTGGGCTGCTCCTTGCTCCCCACTTCTCAGTGTACGCCCCCCTGGATTGCAATCAGCACAGGTTTTTCTTCATTGGGTTAATGTGAGCCTTAGTAACTTGCCTTCAGCACCACACCAGGAGAAGTATTTGCTTGTTACATGGGTAAATCCTGTCCAGTCTAGTCACCTTATGCTCTTCAACTGCAGCAGCTTCCAAAATACAATTTCGTATACACATGGCATATGAAACAAATGTTAAGACCTTGTGCCAAGGATGTTCATTGTTTTCTTTTTTAGTCAGGTGTTGTTGTTGTTGTTGTTGTTGTTGTTGTTGTTGTTGTTTGTTGTTGTTGTTGTTGTTGTGTGCCTTCCATTCAAATGGCTTCCAATGTATGGCCACCTTATGAATGTACACCCTCTAGAAAGTCCTGTGGTCAACAGACCTGCTCAGTTCTTGCAAACTGAAAAATATACTATCAAAAGAATTTTAAAAATATGCTGAAATGCTGCAGTTACATGTAACAGACTTCCATAACTACAACTGTCAAAAGGAGGGAACATAATTCAAAGGCTAAGATCAACATGAAATGTGCAACCATAAATTCAGCTGGGCAGTCATATCACAGTCACAGTCTTCCACATGTGTAAAGGGAATCAAATAGAAGTATGCCTCAGGGAAGTGGCTATTGAATGTATGTTTGTAGGTATGCATGCATTTGATACTATATATCCCAGATAAATTGTTGATTTTCATTGCCTTGATTGCCAGAATTGATTTCCTTTTGAGTCTTTCTTTCAGCTCCTCCTGAAATGCTAGTTTGGCACCAAGCCAAAACATTCCTCTCAGGGATTTGTTAGTAAGGATGTAAGAACCACTTTGGATGTAGTGGACCCAGAGTAACAGACTAAGACTTAGAAGACCTGGGTCTGATTTCCTGCTCAGCCCTGGACACTCACTGGAGGAGGGCGGTGAAACTGGCAAGGCCACTCCCTAGATATATTGTGCACCTCCAAGAGAGATGTGACTTGACGGCACAGAATAACTACCGCTACACCGTACAGGACCAGGCTCCAGCCTAGGTAGGTAGGTAGGTAGGTAGGTAGGTAGGTAGGTAGGTAGGTAGGTAGGTAGGTAGGTAGGTAGGAAGGAAGGAAGGAAGGAAGGAAGGAAGGAAGGAAAGGAAAGGAAAGGAAAGGAAAGGAAAGGAAAGGAAAGGAAAGGAAAGGAAATCGTGACATCTCTTTGGCTTAGGTTAACCATTCATGTCAGCCTCTAATTCCATCCTTACAGGGCAGTCTTCTAGGTCCTCAGTTTGAGTGACGGCCATCTGACCCCTGATGGGATTGGAGTCACAGCAGAACAAGGACCTCCTTGTCATAACCAAAGGGGCAACTGACCAAGTTTCCTTCCTTCCTCGGCAGACCAAGTGAGCCTGGGTTGGCCCGTGGCTGCTCTTTGATGGCCCCAGTTGAGTGGGCGCGGGAGGGATGCTTGGTTCCTCCCCGATCCTTTTGGTCTTTGGCTGGTCTCTTCGCTCATGCTCTGGAGAGTCACCTCCGCTTTGTGGCAGAAGAGGCGGGAGGAATGTGCCTTTGTGAGGGACGGAGGCAGACCGTCTGGGCCCTTTGTGCAGAAGGAGGGACCTGCACCTTCTCCCCCTTTCTTTCTCTCCCTCTCTCTCCCTCCCCGTTCAATCTACCTGCAGGGAGTTTTCTTTGCTATGAGTTGCCATGGACTCCAACTGATGTAGATGCAGAGAGCATTGCTGTCAGTAACAGAGGATGATGTTCCACATCCTTAGATGGGTGGGTGGGTGAGGTGGGCAAGTCATATTGTATGAGAGGGCACTGAGATGCAAAAAGTATCAACAAGTGCTCATTACATCAACAATCTCTCATTGATTTATCCGTTAGCAAACCATTGTTGTGTGGCAACATACTGTGTATCTTGCAGTGATGAGTCGATTAGTACCTGGAGCATTAGATCAGCTGTTTATCTTTAAGTGCTTTGTTCCAGACTGGCTGCTTTGTGGTTACTGACAAAACGTACTCAGAGACCGAACTATTTGCCCTGGTGCTGTGCTGGGTTCCATTTTAAGCGGCCATTTCCAATGTCAGGTTTGTGTCTGTTTTTCTTTTGGGTACAGAAAGACACAAAGGTCTGCAGCTCAGGGGACGTCCGGGGCTGAGGGCAGCTCCATGTGGCCTGCATGGCCGGAGCAGCAAGGCTCCCCCGTGAACCAGGACCTGCCCAAGACAGCACCCAGAGTGACATCTGCTCCCTTTGCTCACATGGGCCACCTTCGAAGGATCTGTTGGTGCCCATCGGAGTTGGAGGTGCCAAAACAACCAGATCACGTCACAGAAACCCTGTGTCACTCGTCCTGCATACTCACTTGTTTCCTGGCTCAGTTTAAAATGTTGGTGGGAAATGGGGCTGGAAAGTTGCTTCTGAGGATTTTGCACCTGGGAAGGCCTGGGAGGAACACCACTAGTCAGAATGGATTTGATACCACAGCATTGTCGTTATGGTTAATTACTAAATTCTAAAGCTGCTCCTGGGGGCTTTACAGCTAGAAAATCCTCACAGGGTTTTCCAGGTATAGAATCCCCAGAAGCAGATTAGATTTGCTGAAAATGACAATAATGCTTGGAAAAGTTGAATGCATCAGGAAGAGAGGAAGGCCAAACACAAAATGGATTGACTCCATAAAAGAACCCCCAGGCTTGAGTTTACAAGAACTGAGCAGGGCTGCTGAGGAGGCCACTCCTTCCTAAGGTCACCCTAAGCTGGAGGCGACCTGACCACATGTAACAATAACAACAATAGCTTTAAAGCACTGAGCTGTTTGGGCACCTGTAAAACCTGGCTGGCCCAGGTTGACCAGGTGGGTCTGAAAGAGCAGCTGGTCTTTTCCAGGGGGGGTGGCCCCACTTAAGGAACGGCTTCTACTGAGAAGGCGATCTGGTGCGCCTGCTCTGGATCCCTTGAGGTCATGCGGGATCCCTTTGCTGCTTTTCATTATCAGCTTCTTCTTTTACTCCTGTACAAGTCATAATGTGCCCCCCTTCTATAGTTTTATTTTTTAACTGATAGTGTTTCAAACAGGTGTTTGTCAATTATTGGTTCTTTAACGTTGTTAAATTAAGCTGGCTTGTTGTCAGGGCAGGTGCTAAAAGGCAGGGTATAAATCTCGGGTATAAACTGGACCTCTATCTGTAGAGACTTGGGTTAGCCTTGTTCTGGGTGCAGTGAAGTAATTTCTACAGCTGAGGCTCTGCTGGGGGTCAGAGCTTGGTGGGGTGCGGTCAATGGGGTGTTTCTTTGCCATCTCCTTATTTGCGTTTGCAGCTGATCTCCTGCGTATTTAGGATACACGTGTATCACAAAGGCAGGTAACAAAGTAGTGAAAAACAATGGAAAGGGAGAGGGAGGGGAAACGGGAAAAGGGGGAAGGGGCCACTGAGCCCTGGGATTCTTGCTAACCTTCTTTTTGGAAGACCCATGAGGCGCATGCAGTGGGGGGGGGTTCCCTGCCTGCCTCTGCCCACTTCTCATCACTCTGAGTCCCTTCCCTTCCCCTTTAGCAAAAGGAAGCTGGCCTTCCTGGGCTGTGCTGGGTCCAGAGGTGTGAAACCTGGCCCCACCACTCCGCCAGCCGGCCTTAGTTGCCCAGACCACTCTCCAAACACCTCTCCTTTCAAAAACAAATAAGAGCAAGAGTTGGAGGTCCTTCGTTCCCCACATGTGCTTGTTTATGATTTCTCTTTGTTCGTTTGTTTCCTTTTCAAAACATGTGTCTTCTCCATCTCCCCTGTCGACCTGTCAAAGGCGCACCAGGCCTTGCTCTGGCTGGGCTTGGCCTGCCTTGGATCCTTCCAAAGCTTGCTTATGCTCTCTTGTTTCTCCTGGCTTCCCCTCCTCTCCCTCTCCCTCCCTCCCTCCCTCCCTCCTGGCAGGCTGTCTACAAGGCTTGGCTGTGCTCTGAGTATTTCAATGTGACACAACTGCAGTGCCAACACCGGGTTCCATGCAAGCAATACTGCCTGGAGGTGCAGACGAGATGTCCCTTTGTGCTGCCGGACAATGACGACCTGATCTACGGAGGGTTGCCAGGCTTCATCTGCACAGGTGAGCAGGGAGGGGGCCTGGCTGGCGGGGGGTGTCATACAGAAATGGGAAAGGTTTGCTTTGCCAGTTGGGATGCCAAGGGCTTTGTGGATCTCCCCTCCCCCCAAACTGGGCATCCTGGGGGTGCTGCTTGTGCCAGGCACGGGGCTACTGGCCGTTGTGGAGAGCCTTCTGTCAATCTGAAAGCCGCCCCCCCCAACCTCCTGCCCGCATGTGACCAAGAAGGTGGACCCAGGATGGAGCCACACAGGGCTGTCCACAGATGGGGTCAGTGTGCTTGGGGCATGTGTGGGATGTGTCTACATGCCTGCGCATGCCTTGCACCACCTCAGAGCTGCATCTTGGCCTCCTCTCCACACATTCACCATCTGCTGCCGTGCCAGGTGCTTTCACCCAAACCACTGCTGCCTTTGCATGTTCTCCAAGCCAGCTTCCCTCCTGGCCGCTCCTGAACCCAGACCCCTGATGTCAGGAGGGTTTATTTATAGAGGCCTGTTCAGTATTTACACACACAAGAGGAACTCTTGTGTGTGTAAATCTGCTGTTTGGGGGACTGAGCGTGCCTAGCCGGTGCCTCACTGGGTTGCCACCTGCAGCATCTCTCTTTGGTTCTCTGATCACACATCAGGACAGAACCAGAGGCTGGTCATAGCATCGTGAATGTGTGCAGTGCTTTACCAAGCACAGAAAGACAGGTGGCATTTTCAATTGAGGAGCTTCTAGTCTGGGAACCCGAAACAGGTGAAGGAGTTGGATATGGGGGTGGGATGAGGTAGACATAGTTTGAGGTTCTGGGCAGGGACTGGGGTCAGACCCTCCATGTCCGTCCAGTGTCACACAGATGCTGGGCATGGAGAAAGGACGAGGGGAGTCGTCATCATAGCAGGGGCTGCAGGAGGCACTTCTGAAGAGACCGGGCCACCAGGGGAGTTGCTGGGTGAGGGAGCAGGCCTGCAAAGGCACAAGGGGCTGGAGGTCAAGATCCAAAAACCAGTTTGGGGTTCCCAGGGCAGAGAGAGAGAGAGAGAGAGAGAGAGAGAGGAGCTCTGAATCCAGGTACGGGTGGGTTTTGTTGGGTGTGGGGGCTGAAAGGGAGCCAGGGCTGGTCTCCTTCAGCAGAGGCCTCCTCGGGCCTCCAAGGGAGCTCAGCAGCAATGCAAGAGGCGAAGGCGAGGAGGGCCAGAGGCAGGCCAGTCAAGGCAGAAAGTGAGAAGATGGCCTTACGTTCTTCGGGTTAGGATTAGGGTTAGGGTAGGTGGGAAATGGACAGATCACGAGCCCAAGCATTTGTTTTATTTTATCTTATTTTGAGGTGATGGAGAGAAAGGGCTTCATTTGTGCAAGATGGGCAAGCGTTCAGGGATGGTAGAGAGCCAAGGCCAAGCTGAGTGCTCATGAGCAGCAATGGCAGCAAATAGGCAAACATGTGGAAGGCTTGGGTGGAAAGGTGAGGAGTCTGGTTTTGAACGTCTTGAGGCTTTGTGGCCGAGCCAGGCAGGGAAGGGAGGGGGCCCTTCAGAGGAGCCCACCCACCCCAAGCAGACCGTGGATCTTCCCCTTGCTCTTGTCTTCTCACAGGGTTGCTGGAGGAGCAGCTGCCGGACCAGGAAGCCAAATGCTGTGAGGTCCACTGGGACTCCTGCAGCCGCCAGAGTGAAGGCAGTGGCCACAACACATCCAGCAGTTCCACGGAGTCAGCGTCATTCCACCCCCAGCCCCAGGACTCCCGCCGCCGCCACCGCCACCACCACCACCACCACCACCACCAGCAGCAGCACTACAACCTCTACTACCCCCACCCCCACCACCAGTACCATCACCCTCACCCCTCTTTGCTGCCGGTCTCTGCAGGGTCTCGCCTCGGCAACAGCAAAATCAGACTCTGCGTTCTGGTCCTCATGCTTCTTCACACCATGGTGTCCTTCTCCAGCGTCCACAGTGGGGGGGTGGCTGCCGGAGGGAGCCTGAGCTTGGAGGCCTTGCCCACCATGGATGAGAGCCTGCCTAGAGACGAGTGACTCTCCCCCCCCTCCACCCCGGCAGGGGAAAAGGAAAACTTCCGGCAGGACGCCTGCTCTTTTCCCATCCAGGGAGGGGGCACATGCTATATACCTCCAGTGAGAGGCCTGGGCTGGGGGTAATGCACACCTACCCACCCCAGCATGGAGCCCCCACCCGCCAGAGTGGCTCCTCACAGGGGCCTCCCTGTGACAAAGAGTCCCTGACACACACACACACACAGGGCTGCGGGGACTCAGCCTGGAGAAGGGCTCGGTCCGCAACAGGCCTGGCGCCAACGGGCTGGCAGCCCGGCAGAGGCTCATAAAGGGGTACGAAAGGGAAGCTGCGATGACGGGAGGTGGCCTGGCCTTCAGGGAAAGGCAGGGGCCCGGAGAATGCCCGTCGGTCGGTCGGTCGGTTGGTCGGCAAGAGGAAAGCGCTGGTTCTCTTGCTTTTGAGATGTGTAAGTTGGGGTCCTGTGGGGAAGCGCTGGTTCTCTGCACCACCTTGGGTGAAACCTGCCCTCGGGGGAAGAGACCAGGCTGAGGAGGGGTCTTTTCCCATTCTTCCAGCCAGTCCTGATGGTGCAGCACCCACCCACCCTGATGTTGAAGGCCCCGTACCTTACCTCCCTTCCTCCTGAGGATAACCGGTGGCAACCTGTGAGGCCACCTCTCCATACTCTGGTGGGTCACGCTAGGTTCCATGGTGGCTGGGTGGCCCGGGGGTTGCAATCCAGAGCTGCCAGAGGGCTTGATTCCTGAAGGAATGGCTGCCTCATCCCTCCGAAGCCCAGGACATCCGTCCTGTGAAGAAGAGCAGGTCCCGTCCCGTCCCACGGGGCTCCCTCGCCTGCATGGGGTCCCTGTCGACTCCCGGGGCCTCTTTGGCCCTTGAGTGAAATCCGCCTCTAATGCAAGTAGCAGTTTCACGCAAGTGTAGGGTTGATTTGTTTTTAAATCAGAGTTAAACCCCCTTCCAAACATTTGCTGGCAGTCCTGCTGCTCTTCCCCTACCCTGTCCAAGCTCAGCAGCAGCCAGCTGCGTTTTTAAAAAAACCACGCACAAAAACTGCAGGAAAGTATTTGATGCGGTATCCGGTTTGGCCCATAATGTGTCACTCATGGGGGGGGGAGAATCACACCAGGAGATTTCCTTCCAAAGTGTCCCTCATTCTCTGGACATGTGGCTTCTTTCTCCAAGGCAGGCTCTGTATGTGCGTGTGAGCGAGTGTGTGTGGCGTGTTCCTAGCTGCTTCCTGTTAATTTCCTCACTAGCCCACTGCAGTGTTCCAGGTCCATTTCGAGATTGACCAGAGTCTGGGAAGGAAGGAGCCAAGGACTCCCCCCCCCAACAAACCCAGGCCCAGAGGAGCCCTCGGCTCCAGGAGGAAGAAGCCCTGATTAGGGGAGCCCCACGTCTGGGCAGAGGCAGGAAGGGAGTCTCCTCCGTCCTTCTGGCCCAGGGCTAGTGGCCCGGACGGAGAGCAGGGTCCCTCCTCCTGCAGCCCCTGCTCGGTCAGGAATCCAGGCCTGAACCGGCCATCGAGTCACGGTCCATCCCATGAGAATGCCGTGGAGGAGGCAGAAGGCGGGGGGGGCTTTCCGGAGCAGCCAGCTTTTCCTCCTCCTGCCCCCCCCCAAAATGCCCCAGTGTGGCAGGAGTTCTTTGAAAGAAGACTGAGGACAAGCATCTGGTCCAGGGAATTTATTCTCCGGCTCGGTGCCTCCCTGCCCATTTCCTGCCTCGCAGATAGTGAGGACAGTGGGGAGAGGGGTGCCAGGAGAGCCACTCACCTGTCTTGTCTGCATCCTGGATGCGGCCGAGGGCTAATACCTTGAACAAACCCACACAAGGAAGCCTGAGATAACCCCAGAAGGGAACCTCTCACACGCATGTGGAAATGCAAAGGTGCCCTCCTCAAACCCAAGCTTAGGCACCACCACAAAGCTTCCCTCCAAGCGGGGTCAAGAAGGCACAGTCCTTTTCTCAGAATAGGTCAGTCAGAGTCGCCCTCCTCCCCTTCCCAGGGCCCTTTTGTTCTGGGGAATTTGTCCTCAGCTCCTCTATCAGTAGGCAGTGTGCGTCGGGGGGGGGGGTGGTCATTTTCTATGTCGATGCTCCATGTAAGGAAGAACTGCCGGGGGGGGGGACCCATCCCCTTGTCGAGAAGCAACCGTGGTGTTTGAGCCGGGCTGTTCTGCCTGAACGAGGCCCCTGCCCCCAAAGGCACCCCAAGCAGGCCAAGGCTCCCGGCTACCTGAGAAGAGAAGCACCTTCAGGGACACCCAGCAGAACCTCACAGGCCTCCTGGCCTTTTCTCCTGCAGGGTCCGGTGGAAAGTGGATGTGTGTCTTTCCCCGCCTTATGTCCCCTGGGTAGTGAGGCTTATTCCAGATCTGTAAACATATTACTTTCTCTCTGAAGGCATCCTTTGCCATTGGCTACCAAGGTTTGTAATGGTGTTTAGAACCAGGAACAAATTCACAGGCTTGTTGGTTGGGGTCTTTCGTGGTCAACCAGAAATGTGGGAACTGGTTCCACTAAAAGTGGCACAATCATTCCTTCCCAGCCCGTTAACCCAACCAGCAAGGCACAGGACACGTGTGGCTCCTGGGCCCGGAGAGCCTTTAGCACATCAGAGAAGCTCATTTTTGCATCCCTCCTCCACAATGCATTGAAAGAATAGGGCAGGGCCTGGGAGCTGAACCTCGAGGGCTCCCTGGTCCCAGGTGTGTCACCAAAGCCCCTGAAGGTGAAAGGAAGGCCGTGCCGTCTTTTGTCACAGCCCCAGCACCCGTGAGACTCTATGCCACATGACAAACTGAGTGGGGCATCAGGCGCAGGCCAGCTCCGTCTGCCTCCTCCAAACCGGACCCTCCTCCTGTTCTCCCTCTGATGCCCACCCCACCCCCCACTCCATCTCTGTTTCTCTTTCACCTCCCTTGTTGTTCTGTTGTTCTTGCTGGTCCTACTGAGGATGAGGATGATGGGGATGGTATCGTAAATCAGACTGCTTCAACCCCGTGTTTTGGTGGTTGTGGGACCAGCTTTCCAGGGCCAAGATAAGGGCCACTCCTCCTCCCACCCACCCCCGGCCAGGCGCTAAAAGGGGCTGCGGGGGAGTGGGGGGGGAACCCTTGCCCGAGAGGGAGGCCTGGATCACTGCCTCCTCTTCTGGCTCCTCCCACTAAGGCCAGGGCCAGAAGCAAGTGTTTTTGCTACTGGTGCTTGGAAGTCCACCCTGTTGTAGGTGTTTAGGGGCCTGGCAAACTTTGTTGCATGCCAGACACCATATTTTGCCTTGGGCCACGGCGGGGGGGGGGAATTGTTGTCAGACAGAAGAGACGGCCCCATTCCTGGCTCATTTTTGCATCCCTCCTCCACAATGCATGGAAAGAATAAGGCAGCATTTTGGTATTTCAACTGCACTGTGACGTTGGGTGGGCCAAGAGCAGCCCACGGTGGCGGGCTTCAGCCTCTGAGCCTTGCCTTTGCATGCTTGGTTAGCAACGGAGATGGGCTGCCGTTCCTAGTTAGGGTCAGAGGGAAAATGCCAGGATGCAATCTGCTCCCCACCCGCCCCTCATCTCCGTGCTTTGCAATCTTAGATGACAAAGCCACCCATGTTGTTGGGACACTAAACTCCCACAATCATTGCCCCTTCCACGAGGGGCTGTGAGAACAATCCCTCCTTCCCAAAGCAACGTGTTCAGGGCTGGTGCGTCGGCCTTTGCATGCATGTGGGCTCATTGGCCCAGCAAAAATGGCTCCAGAGAGACAGGAAGGCCTGGGGTCTTGCATGGAGCTGTCCTGGGAGCAGAGACCCCCTCCCCTCCCCCAGAGTTCAAAAAGGAAACTGGCTTGTGGCTTTTTGAACTCACTTAGAAGGAAGCTTGTTAAAAAGGGGCTCCAGTCGAAAGGGAATTGCAGCAGACTCAAAAAGGGGCAGTTAAACCCTCTGGATTATAGGGATGACGAGAGGCAGCGCGGGCTTTATGGGTGACTATAGAAGCCACAGCGTGTTGTTCCCCCAGATACAGTGTGGGGCCCATGAAATTTTGGAGATAAGCAATTGAGCCTGGGCAGTTAGGTGGCACTCTCTGTGTTCTCTCTTATTCTAGACTCTGTCTTTCTAAACAATGGGGAAAAGATCATTCTCTTTGAGCGGCAGCTACAAAAGAACCCCCATCCACGCCCACCAGAGTAACTGCAGCCTGCTTCTCAAAAGACCCACTGAGAGAAGAATGAGTCGAGCACCCCTTGCCTTTTGGGGAAGGAAGTTGCAAAGCTGACGTCTTCAGCTGAGCAAAGGGTTACTGGTCAGGAGCTGAAGCCTAGCCACTTTTTTCTCCTGCTTTGAAATGAAAGTCTCACTTTTTTCCCTTTTCTTTAGCGGTTTACCATCCCACTTTCCCATAGTCAGATGGGAATAGCCCAACACTGATGGACAGACATGTTCATCGCTTTTCTGCAAGGAATGGATAGATGTGGCAAAGCCAAGCCGACAAGGTCTTTGGCCCTGGAAGTAAACGGGCGGCCAAAAAGAGGCCGGAGAGACAGACTGGTGGTGGTCCTTCTTCACCATCTTCCCAGAGCCACCACTTTGGGACAGGCCATCGTCTGAAGGCCCCGTATGCTGTGGCGGAGTGTAGGCCAGTCTGCTTTTGCCCGCCTGTCCTGGGCCCTGTCTCAGGTGTGGGGGTCTGAGAGAGGGCCTTCTGGGTGGCTGCTCCCAGGTGGTGGAATTCCTTTTCCAAGAAAGAATGGAAGGCGCCCTTCTCGGGTGTCATTCTGTGGACAAAGGTATGGACGGCTCTTCAGGGTTTCTTCCCCTTGGCAATAGACCCTTCTTGTAGTTGGGGAGGGGGGCAGCTTTTCATTAAGCGGGCGTGGGATTTTCTTTATTAGCGTGTTTCAAACTATGTCCATATTGTAAATGTTTTCATAACTGAATTTGCTATGTGTGTTTTCCTCCTCCTTTCATTCAGCCTTACTGTTGTGAGTTGCCTCCCATCCCCTTTTTGAGCTGTCTTTTGTAGGCGAGCAAAAGACAGAAGAAGCCCCAAGAAGCCCCGTGGCCCTCTTCTCAAAGAGGACCTCACCAAGGCCAACTCAGGCATCGCACTGCCCCCTCCAACACACACACACACACACACACACACACACCCCACAGGCAACCTCCAACACTGGCAACAATGGCCATTTTTCCCTGCCTGTAACCACAGCTAGCATCCAGAGGTCCCACCTTTCCTCCCTAGAGCACCGCCAGAATCGGGCCCTCTCCCACAGCCCTGGTGTGGAGAGCCGGACGACCACCAACTCGAGCCAGCTCTCTTTCTCTTTCACACACCGACACACCCACAAAGCGGGGGAGGGGAGGGCTGAAGTAGCCCCTTGATCTTGGAGTCCTAGACAAGAATGG